CACGTCGTGGGTGAGCGAGAGGCAGGGTCCGTCCGCTGGTTCGAGGTGCAGCCGGGACGCCCTGCAGCCGCCTCCCGACCCCGCCTTCCCCCCACCCCCACAGCACCGACCTCCCGTAGCAGCAGATCGGGGGCTCTGCAGATGGTCTCGGACTCTGCCCGCGTGTCTGTGTCTTTTTCTCTTTTCCTTTGCATTTTTAAGGCTTTGGAGCACCCTACGCATAGCTCGATTTATTCCTCTAAGGGTCTGTCTTGGCCCCTGTCCCACCTAGGCAGCTCTAGGTCCCCCTCGTCCTTTCCAGGGGGCTCCACTTCACAGAGGTCCCACGTCCTGTCCTCTGACAGACGTCTGGGTGGCTGCCGGCCCTGTGGCGTGCACGTCCGATGCTCACATAGCTTCCTCCGCGGGCGTACTCAGATAGTGGGACGGCCGGGTCAGGGCGTGCAGCTTTTAAATTCTGAGGGCGTCTAGAGAAGTCGAAACCACAGCGTGTGAGAGCATTATTCCCTCGCCTTTTATTATTCCTTTCATTTGCAACTCTGTGTTCTGAGTCTTTGGGATCTCTCCTCCCTGACTGGTAAACAATAATGTCTAATTGTGTGGATGAGCATTTCTTTGGTTATGGGGAGGCTGAGTGTACTTGACACGCTTTTCAGATACTTCGTGTGGTTTTTTTTAATGCGAATTGTCTTTTTGTGTCCTTTTTAAATTAAGTTCTCCATCTTTTAAAGTTAATTTTTAAGACGTCTTTGCATATCAAGGAAAGAAGCCTTTTTTTTTTTTGCTAATGTCGTGGCTGTTTCCCCAGCTTGTCCTAAGTCTTTGGACTTTGTGGTATTTTTGTTTTCCATAGGAAAGTTTTACGTTCTTATGAAGTCAAATATATCAGTCTTTTATGGCTTCTGGGTTTTATGTTCCTTACTCCGAGATTATGACCACATTCCCTGGAGATCTGATCTGGTACTTTTGCGGTATTTTTCTTTCTATCCAAACCTTTGCTTCGTCTGGAATTTAGCTCACTTTTCCCAAATAGGCTCCCGGTTGCCCCAACAGCATCTTTTTGCCACTAAGATGAATTACGTCTTTTATCGCGAACTCAGCTTCCGGGCCTGGCGTTTGACGGCAGCGCCAAGCCCCACCCGCTGCCCCCCGCTTCTCTCCAGGTCACCGAGGGTGAGCCCGGCGTGATGTGGCTCTCGGGGCTGCACATCCCCGAATCCTACCTCACGGCCCTGGTGCAGGCCACCTGTCGGAGGAACGACTGGCCACTGGACCGCTCCACCTTGTTCACGCAAGTGACCAAGTTCCAAGATGCTGACGAAGTGAGTGAGCGGGCAGGACAAGGTAAGGTTGACTCCTGATGGATTTACAGCCTTTCATTTGGGTCTGCCTCCCTGAGCATCCCCGATTCCCAGGGCGGGGGCGGGGGAAGCGGGGGGCTTGCGCGGGCCCGAATGGGCCGGGCCGTGTCTGGAAGTCAGGCTGCGGCAGGTGCCGGCCGTGTCTGTGCTCTGTCCAAGTCGTGACATCTCCGAGGCTGAGTACACGTTTGTCTCCCAGTTTCTCCTCTGAGACCTGGGCCGAGATCAGGGAGAAGTGAACCATGTCACCGTGCTGGTTTGTGGGCAGTGGCTCCTGAGTCAGAGCCAGATACCCCAGAGGACCGGATGACAAGGCAGTGTCCCTGGAAACCTTGGGGCCTAGGGAATGGGACGGCCGCGGTGGGAGCCATTCACTTACCCTGTGACTTCTAGTCCTTTCGACACTGGTCACCGGCCGTGCAGACTGTAGCTGGAACCTGTTTCCTGGGGCCAGTGAGGCCTCATAGGGACTGGCAGGTCTGGGGCCCCTGCTCTCTCGGGGCCTGTTAACTGTCCCTCTCTCTGCTCCTCTGCATGTCTGTCGTGTCCTCGCCCCCGGAGACCACATCCTCTGCCAGGCTTTGACTGGCTCGGGGAGGATCTGGAGTTGCTGCGGTGCCCGCTGATGCTTTCATCTTTACGGGCTGGGGCCCACAGCGGTCTAAGTCTGTGCGCCTTGATGCCAAATGGCCGGGAGAGGCGACCACCCCGTGCATTTCATCGAGCCCCTGGGGGAGGGTCATGGGGTCTGCAGAGTGTCCCATCTGGGCTGTTCCTCTAACAAGGGAAGTGGGGTAGGGCAGAAAGCCTGGGGAAGGAACGCCGGTCATGACCTGTCTGTCTGCTGTGTCCATCGGACAGATCTGCCACACGGCAGTATCACAGGGCCTCTTCCCTGTACCCCTAGGATGCTTTGTGTCAGGACTGTACCTAGAAGGTGCTGACTGGGACACAGAAAGAGGGTGTCTCGTCAAGAGCAAGCCCAAGGTGCTGGTGGTGGACCTGCCGATCCTGAAGATCATCCCCATCGAAGCCCACCGCCTCAAACTGCAGGTGGGGCCGCCGCTCGCTCTCCCCTTCCCTCCGGCTGCTCATGGATGGGGCGGTTTCGAGCAGTCTCGCCCCTTAACGCGGAGCGCTTAACCTTCGTGGGTGGGGAAGCCCGAGAGACACCGTAGCAGCGTGCACTCACTTCCCGGGGAGGTGCACGCACGCGCACACGCGTGTGCATGCAGAGACTCGGCAGGTGGCACAGATTCGGGTTTAGGTGCTGTGGTCCAGGCCAACTTGAGGAGAGACCGCAGGCCTCTCGTGCACTCCCGCAGGCAGCCAATCAAACAGTAGTCACCCCCGGTGTGGACGGCAGGCCTCCTGCTTTGCCCGCCTGGGTCCGCTTCCAGTGAGTGTGTCCGTGGGACCGATGGCCCCGCGGGACCGCAGCCACAGCCCTTTCCTTGGGTGCAGCCTTGCGGGACGGCCACTGCTCTTGGCTCGGCCGACAGGCCTCCGCCCCGTCCCGTGACGAGCGCTGCTTTGCCCTGGGACTTCACACGCCTTTGCTTTGCAGTACACCTTCCGCACGCCGGTCTACACCACCTCCACCAGAAGGAACGCCATGGGGGTTGGCCTGGTGTTCGAGGCTGATCTCTTTACCACGAAGCACATTTCCCACTGGGTGCTGCAAGGCGTGTGCCTCACCCTGAATTCTGATTGACCCTCCGGGCGGAGGGATCCGTGAACCACCATCGAGTCTGCTGTCACTTCTTGGGGCCTCTCAAGAGGCAGGAGGGGACTGACGACGATTTTCCTGTCATTTGAAATTAGCCACTTTAATCTCTTTCCACATAAATTAACCTGAATGGTTTTGTTTAAGCTATTTTTTAAGGATTCGAAAAAAAGTAAATTCTTCAAAAATGAGAGCACTTTAAGATGTCGAGTTTTCTTTTCCTCCACAGAGGAAAACAATTTAAGCAAAAGTGCCCGGCACGTCACTGGCACAGCTGGGCACCCTAATGTAAATTTCAAAGGCGTGACCGACAATCAGCCTGTTTCAGCGGATGCTGCTCTGGGGCCGGAGCTGTCGGTCGAGGTGTGGGGCAGACGGCCCAGGCTGCGGCCTCTTCCGTGGGCTGCTGATGCCAGCCTAGAGCAGAGATGACCACGGCCACCCACCGCCTCCTGACCCACTTCCTGAACCCTCCAGCCTGTGGACGTGGGGGTGAGGCCCTTGAGCTTGGTGGTTAATTCCTGCATGAGCGCCTGCCCACCCTGCCTGGGTCTGTGTGGGGTCGGGCGCCACTTACTGTCCCTAGGACCGGTGGCTCCTGGGCGCCCCTCCCTTCTGTGCACTGCGGGGTGAGCCTGGACCCCTGGCCAGGCCCCACTGGAGGTGAGCAGGGGCTTTACTCTGTAAGGGGGGGGGGCTGAGCTGAGCGGCAGCAGGACACAACGGGGGCCAAGGTCGCGTTTGCCAGAACCTCGGACGCACAGAGCGTTCTAAGGGAGAGCCCTGGGCAGTGAGAGGTAACAGGGGAAGTGAATCCCCGCACGCCAAAGGTGAGAATGGGGGGTGCTCTTCCTCTGCCCAATCTGGTCCCCTCCCAGGCCCGCCCTCGGGTGATTTAATAAAAGACACAAAACAGAAAGAAGGCAGGTTCAGAAAATAAAGTTTGTTGGGATCTTGAACATTGTGGATAAAACCAACAAAAAAATATGAACACACATTCTGGTTGTGGTGACATGAGGAATAACGTCATCTTATTTAGTTCCTGTGACATACACGTACAGTTGCTCGGCTGGGGGGCCTCCCGGGGAAAGGTAGGCCGGGCGGAACGGGGGCTGCTCCCCACAGGCCGCCCTGCAACCGGAGGGCCAGGGTCAAGGCGGGTGTGCGCGGCTCCGGCTTTGCAATTCGGCGTGTGGTGTTGTGAGTTCGTTGACGTCGGTGCTGGCAGCGTGGGGTCGGGAGCAAGCCATTCGGCACAGGCGTCTGGCCACGCGGCCGCGGTGGTGTCAAGGTAGGCCGGGCGGAACGGGGGCTGCTCCCCACAGGCCGCCCTGCAACCGGAGGGCCAGGGTCAAGGCGGGTGTGCGCGGCTCCGGCTTTGCAATTCGGCGTGTGGTGTTGTGAGTTCGTTGACGTCGGTGCTGGCAGCGTGGGGTCGGGAGCAAGCCATTCGGCACAGGCGTCTGGCCACGCGGCCGCGGTGGTGTCAGCGAGAGAGCTAGTGGAGCAGGAGGAGGATTATCTGTTGACAAGTCTGAAAAAAATTTGGCATGCATGAAAACTAAAAAAAAAAAAAAAGGTGTGGACGACTTTCCAGCGGTGGTCACAGTGCGTGGACAGCGG